TTCCAGGGACTCTGGTTCTGTGTGAAAACCTACCATCCCAGGCCTTTTCTTTTTGTAGTGACATAAAGAATATTTCTGCAGTAGAGAAAGGAATGGAGCCAGAATCTCAGTTCCTTACTCAGTTTTGAAAAACTCATTTGAGACAGGCCCCTTGTTAGTGTCAATATCAGGTTTTCCTAAGCAAGGACATCAGGACTGGGATCAATAATCTTTTGATTGCGTGGGGACTGGTTGAAAATTGAGAAGATCCTCAGAATTTGTTCCATACAGAATAATCTTTCTGCAGGGTTTGCTATGCTAACTGGAATAATTTCTTAATCTTTCCTGTGAAAGAGAGTCTCTCCAGCTGTTCACAAAACAAATCAACTTTATCAGCACTTTATTATCATTTGCCTTTATGAGTTTTCAGTTCAACTATTTTTTAAAGAAGTCACTGCTACATTTCTTTGATTTACATCTGGAATGTTAAAAGACTCCAAATTCTTTTTATATCCAAGAGAAAAATGTATTTTTTTTGTTCAGGAGTTTCTCACAACTTTCTGATTATTTTTTAAAAATGGACTGTCTGGCACTCTGAGCCAGCCACTGATAATCAGTAACAGCATTAACTGACTCATTTTGATTGTATAGAAACATCATAACTACTGAGTATCAAAACATTAGCTAACAAGTTGAGCAGAGCCTCTCCTGTCATACTGACATGTGCAGCTTGTTTGTACTCCGAATGAAAACCACACAATGGTAAGCTGCCAATACACTGCAGCTGATTATTTCACAGAATCACAGAATGATAAGGATTGGAAGGGACCCCAAAGGATCATCTGGTCCAATCCCCCTGCTGGAGCAGGACCACCTAGATCAGATCACACAAGAACGCATCCAGGCGGGGTTTGAACATTTCCAGAGAAGGAGACTCCACAGCCTCTCTGGGCAGCCTGTTCCAGTGTTCTGTTACCCTTACTGGGAAGAAGTTCTTCCTCATGTTTAAAAAAACCCACATAGTTGCGTTCATATCAGAGACTGGCACCCCGTGTGAGTATGCACTTTTAATGTAGGTGTCTCAAATCAATGTAAAACTGAAGGTTACCAAAATACAGAGCATTAATCTAATGAGCCTCTCTGGCTATTGCTACTCGTAAGGTACAGATGCCTAGGTAGAAAGTTGTCAATGTACACGGGCATTATATTATATGGGCAGTTTCAAGATTTGTAAAAGCACATGAGTCTTTCCTCAGTGCACATCTGATTCCCATAAATATTAACAGGAGTGACAGGCCATGTTGTTTGTGGACTCTACTCCCTAGAGTTCAAATTTTGTAATATTTGTAGACTTTTTGCCATCTGTTTTTATTAACTGTTATCTGATGTTTTCATCTGATGTCGTATTACAAATTACAAAAGAGCAAACACAAGGCAGAACAGCTCCAGAGAACCACATGAACGCACGAGATAAACCACAGTTTGAAAGCAACACTTTGCTACAAATACTCAGGCCTTACCACTTCCCTGCTGATATTTCCCTTTCTGAATCACTTTTCCATTTACTTAATCAGCTCCCATCTGAGATACCTTTTTCCTGCTCTTTAGCAGAATTAATTTGATTTGAGTTCCATTTATTTAAGTGTGTGTTGACATCCATTTATTTATTTAAATGTGCATGCATTGTCTTATCAGAGTTAGAGCAAAAGATGTGAGACCTGTTGGCCTTTTATAAGGATGTGTTATGGTATTTATTATTATTTGCCGTTAAGTTGCACGTCTAATTTCCATTTGTAAATCCCTAATGACAGAACGTTTTCTGTGAATAGCTGTTCTGAGTATCACCTTGATTCAGAACATGGGAACATAGTAACTATGCTGCTGGGTGAGGCCAACGGTCCGTCCAGTATGCTGTCTTTAGCAGTGTCAGTAAGGAATGCTGTACAGGGAGAGCACATAAGCCTGACCACTTTTTGTTGTACTCCCCATCAACTACCATCATACGACTAGGAGTGCTAAAGGTGGCATCTCTACTGTTCTCTTTAGTGTGTTTTTGGACTTGTCCATAATTTGTCTAATCCATTTAGGAACCCGCTGATACTGTTTGGCACCACAGTGTTTACAACAGCAAATTTAAAACCTGCTGCTTGAAGAATAGATTACTAATCCACTGTAATTATCACCATCTCTAAGGAAGTAACACAGTAGCATCTTAAACACAGATCAGAAGTCTATTCTACCTTTAGCTTTGGCAACCCAGTACAAAATGGTGATTCTTGTTCTACGGAGCCTATTATGTATTTTAAGCATCCTTAAGCAGAACCTCAAAGTTACAGAGACCTTTGAACCAAAAGGTGCTGAGCGCCTATTCCAGTACCTTTATTAATGTTGATTTTTAAACCTGAACCTAGTCTAGGGGTGCCTACATTATCCTACATTAAGAATGTCCCTTTTTTGTGTTTGTGTGATGTCTTGTTTTTAGTAGACTGTCCTGACATCTGTTGAGCTGATGCAAAGGAAGGAGGCCTGGAGGAGATGCAGAGACCCAAAGATACTCTTAAAATGTGTAGCTAATACTTAACTTAATCTCTCCATGTCCCCTGGCGATGTGGGAAGAGGTGCTGGCCAGTAGTTATGTTCCTTGGAAAGCAATTCCAGCTGCAGGGCATTTTGCACTGTGGTCCCCCTTTTCATGCAGCAGATGGCTGTATTTTGCAGCACATCCTCCTGTCAGGCTGTTTGGGCTGCTGCAAAGACTAATTCTAGACCTCTTAGTATTTAGAGTATTACAAAGAGGTTTTGGTGTCATTTTTATAGTTGATATATAGCCTTATCATAGGAAAGTCACTGCCCTGGTGAGGCTGCTGCCTAAGACAGGATAGCATCCTGTTTCTGGATAACTGGGGTAATTGCTGGTACAATCTAAATCTCTTGCTTGTTTTCCTCTTTCTGAGGTTCAGCGTTTTCCTTGCAAATCTTCAGAAAAAATCCACTGTTTTCAGAATGCAGACAAATACCAGATTACTGACTTCACCTCCAAAGGAGTGTAACGTGCTGCTGAATGCCATGGCAGCTTCAGCCAAGACCCGCCTGTTGACACAAAGTCATGGTCTCTTTACATTTGGTGATTGCCCTCGGTGCTGTTGTTCCAGTCACCAAAGGACAAGTTTGCTTTGACATTTCCAACCAACTGGGTGGCGGTGCCGTGCAGTGCCGTTCTCGCTGCACCAAGGACGTTGCTGTCCCGGCTGCAGTCACTCCAACCTTGCTTGCTCTTTGCTCTTTCCTCTTTCCATCTTAACGTGAGGATTTTAGTGAGGATCGTGGGGCTCTGTCACCCCCTCTAGTGGATGAATTATTATATTTTTTAAGAAAAAGGTTTCGTGCTTTTACCACAGCAGGTGCCTTTGATCAATAGAATTATTTGTATGATAATTTGTAATTTAATTTTACAATACCTACATTTAAATTTTTGTATTGACTTTTGAAATGATGGTCATCAGGAGGAGTGCCCAAAATTCTAGTCAGAGATTAAATAAGGGGAGAGTGATTGCTTGAGAAACTTGTCTTCTGAAATCCTGAGATGCCTGAGTGAACTCCTGCTGTGTGAGGCACAATAGCATTTCATAGAGGCCGTTACTGTCCAGAAATGAAACACAAAATAGGAAGACACACTGTTTTAAAAACTAATTTTGCTGAAGGTAGAAATGATGTTAGATAACAAGGTGACATTTTAACTTCTTAGACACATGACTGAGCAAAACATTGATCAACAGGAATTAAATCTAAAAATTTCTATTTTTTTAGCTGTTTTATCTATGTGGAATGTGCAAAAGTTGTTGGCAGATAAACTTCAAAGCAGCTGTGCTTAGGATGTTGAAGCTCTGCAATGTTATCAGACCCAGCCACAGAGATTACATTTTAGTGTTAGTGTTGGAAACACTCGTGTTTGAAATGCATATTACCTCTCAGTAGATAGTGCTGCCCTTCCTTCCTTCCTTCCTTCCTTCCTTCCTTCCTTCCTTCCTTCCTTCCTTCCTTCCTTCCTTCCTTCCTTCCTTCCTTCCTTCCTTCCTTCCTTCCTTCCTTCCGCCTTCTCTCCCTCCTGCCTTTCTGCCCTTCCTTCCCTCTTCCCTCCCTTTCTCTCTCCTCCCCTCAACTGTCAGTCTATTTTCTAGCACTTTTTTCTCTTTCTCCTCTTCCCCCCATCTCCCCTCCCTCCCCTCCCTTCCTTCCTCTGTTTCCATCTACCTGCTAGTCTGTCTTCCAGCACTTTTCTTAAACATCACTTCCCAAGTCATGCTGTGACACCTCACCAGAACAGACTTTGAGTCTACCATGGGGTCGGTGCCTGCTGCCTGACACGTGTTCATGCATTAGCGCCTTCAGGCCCTCTCACCTTGCAGAAGGCGGCAGTGTGTGTTACTCTTCAGCATCCCTTTCACTGCTGTCCCTAAAGTGGTCCCCCAGACATCTTTCTCTGCTTGACTTTCACTGCATTTTTCCTGAAATCACTTCTCCTACTCTTACTGCTGACATTTGAGTGACTCATCTTGGGAGGTGATGTGTGAAACAAGTGACATTAAGATAGTACAGTCAACCAGTCAAACGTGTGTTTGGACAGCCTGTGTCCAAAATCATTCTCCTGCATTAGAAGAGAGCTGGCTGGCTGAGAGGCAACACTGGTGGGTTTCATTAGCTGACGTTATTTCAGTATTTAAAATGAGGGGGTTGGTAAATACTCAATGGCATCATTAGCATAGTTATTCACACCTTTGTTGTGGATATTTGGTAAATGACTATACATCCTTTTCTCTGCAGCTTGCCTCTTCTTTCTTGGGATTTCTCATGCTTATGATAGGAATCCACTTATATATACATGCACAGCCATAGGTATGCACATACGTACATTCGTGCATGCACACACACATGTTGAGGCTTTGTTAATTGACGTTAACTGCTGATGTTTTTAATTATAAAACATGTTTCTCTATTGGTCTGTTTGCACTGCTTTGTTTTAGCTTCATCTAATGCACTGGAACTCCACGCTGTACAGCAGCATTGATGAGGCAGTAGGGAAGAAGCACGGCATAGCTATTATTGCTTTGTTTGTGCAGGTAAGTCTCTTGTGTTGCACTTGTTATCAGGCACTATCATTTGTCTGAGGAAAATGAGTTCCTTTCCATTTTATTCCATTTTTAATGATTTCATAAAATAAAACAATGTATGACTGCTGGTATTCTATTCAGAAGATACTTCTCAGTCATGTCTTCTGTGTATGCGCTAAATAATTAATTCTTATTTAGACAGAATATTGAAAGCGTGTTAGTTAAAAAAGGAATAATACATAGTAGGCCATCTTTCTCTCTGATGCTGGCTATAAGCGGACATCCACTTTTCTTTCGTCTGAGGGCAGAATGATGGCTGTCAGGAGGTGCAGGTACTTCACTACCTCTGTAATGTGCTTTTCTGCATTCCCGACCAGGCCTACTGTTTGGGGATTGAAGAAATACACAGTGGAGAGGAAGAAAGAGGAAAAAAAGTGCCTACTAACCCATTGGCACAGCCCAAAACTGGTAGTAGGATTGTGCTTTTCTGAACGCAGGGACAAGTGTGTTTCTTCACACAGGACAAAAGTGAGGTGGGATTATATTACTTCTTCAGAGATGCCAGACTGAGAGTGTAACGAGTCTTGCCACAGACTCTTGGAAAAGCCTGTGACAAGGGGGCTTAATGCTTCCTAGGGAGAAGGTTTAATGAAACCTGGGAAGTTAGCCCCATAATCTAATTGCTGTTGGAGGTTTTTCCAGGGCTGCACTCTATAAAGATTTTCAGCTTTAGTCCTCAAACACCAGATTCTCATTCTCCCCTTGAGAAATGACAAACTGTTTTATTTAAATGGGTTTGGAGGAAGAGGTTTAGAGTTCATGCGTAGATCAAATGGATTTTCTTTCACAGTGATATTATTAATGTCGTATTTCATAACAAGTTTGTGAGTGCCTTTGAGCTTTACCTCTGTTTGAATTTAAAGGTACATTGGTTACAGCTCCAGCTCTCAGATAGAACTGCTAAAAATGGAAGTTAGAAAGTCTTCAGTTTTGTATCCTAGAGGGCTGTGTGATAATTGCTTATGTAAGTCACCTTCTAATTCCAGAAGAGGTAACCTTCGAGTTAGTTAGAAAGTTATATATAAGTTCTTAAATAAATCTGAAACTTCAATGATACATTTTCCATTTCTGGTCTCTCACCTTCATCAGAGTTCTTAAGCATTCTAAAGGATTTTTTCATTAGCCAAGAAAGGTATAATATAATTACAATTGACCAAGGAAAAATAGTATTTATGCCGTTTATTAAAGGGAGAGGAAATTCAATGACCATTTTTTCCTGTTAAATGCATGGAAGTATAATAGTTTTGCACCACAGTTCTCAAATGCATCATTTTAAGGTCAGTGAAAATATTTTCACTGATTTAAGTGACAGCCCTTGGTGATTATTAATTTAGAAACAGTGTCTTTGAAGTGATTTCAAAGGTTTTAAATTGAAATCCCATTCTGAAACAAAAGGAAATACTCGTGAATTCCTAGAAATAACAAAGTACTTTTTGTTGACATTCAATCGTTTCCTCCCAGTGACTACTGTGCCATTGTATTCCAAGAAAAATAAAAAGCAAACAAATTTTCAAGGTCCAGCCCTCCTGTTCTCACTCATACCTGCCTCATTTCTCACCTTGCGTATGTACATGTTGGCAAAGAAATCAAGTGGAAGACCATTCTGAGTCTTCCGATTTTGACTATGTTCTGAAGGTAAAAGCTGAGGTCCTAGGATGTGTGAGTTAGACCAGAAGCAGCTGAAATCAGTGTGCAGAGTGAACAGCAATTAATGGAAAACAAAAATCTCTTATTTCTTGAAGGCCCCATCTTCTGTGCTTTAAAGGCACTCAGTAAAGGCAGTGCTGCAGGATGCAGGGAGCGTGGCTTTCACCAGCAGGATACCAGAGATGCCATGAGGGAGGGGATCTGCCATTCTGCGCTCTGCAGGCAGGAAAAAACTCCCCTGAGCTTCAGAGATACCTGGGGCCAGATTTGCAACACAGTGGGAACAAATTCAAAAAGCGTCTGTCATGCTTGTTCACTCTCTTCCTTTCTGTGTGCTTTTCTGACTAAAACTGGTAAGGACAAACTGTATCCTTGGCGTTTATGTGCCATAATGCTGCATGATTTTGACTCCACGTGCAGTTTTTGCTGCAAAACAGGGTGAATCAAAACTTACAAGACTTAACTGTGACTCTTTCTCTTGTTCCGTGAGTTTCTGTCACTGCTTTAAAGTTATTTATACCTCGATTACTTTGGAGTGGTGGCTTTATAGTGATTTAATTGTTTGGAGTTGCCATGTATCAGTGTTTTTGGTTAACACAAGGTTGTGCAGCTTAACTAAAAACAACCACAGAACTTACTGTTCTGGTTGACCTTTGTCTTGCCTGGCAGTTTCTGAAATAGTAAAATACTGAAACTCGTATTTGCTTGCTGTATTTCAGATAGGAAAAGAGCATGTAGGCCTAAAGGCTGTAACTGAAATTCTCCAGGACATCCAGTACAAGGTAAGGCATTGTCTGAAGAAATGCTTCCTCCACTGACCAGAGAGAGACAGTAAGTGAGCGAAGGGTCTATATGAAGCCAAGAGAAAGGTTTCAGATATGTCTGTAGTAAAACCATGTGTGAAAGCCATCATTTGGTAGCCTGCATCAGCACCTCAGCATTTTACGGTACTCAGATAATACACAGTCTTTATAGTTGCTTCCTTTTCTGGTGGCCAGAAAGTTCGATCTCCTATACCAGTAACTGATTGCAAATACTACCTTTTCAGTTATTATCGTGGAGTCAGTGTGAATGTAAGCACCGCAACATGCTTAGTTAACATCAGCAGTAGTATCTCCAAACTTACCTGGTTTTAATTTGTAGAGAAAAAGAATAGATGAACTGAGCGCCCATATTGACTTGCAGTGGGAAATCAGCAAAACCACAATGCCATCTTGTCAGGTGGATTATGTGTGGAGATGAAAGACAGATAATAAGCCTAGCAGGACTGAGGAGATATGAGTGCTCTCCAGAATGTTGATGCTATCTTAAATGACCTTGAGCAAGTTGCTTCTATCTCACTACTTCATGGTCTCTGTCTGTAACATAGAAATAATCATACCTACCTTTGATTTTAAAGGATTTTGAGATGTATTACTGAGATGGTTTGTATTGGTCTAGAGAGATTAGCCATTCATTTCAGTGTGTGCTGAAATGTAGAAAAATTAGAAGCTGTTATTAGAAGGAAATTGAAAATCTTCTTTTACTCAAATAATATATGGTAAACTTCAGTCACAATGTTTAATATTACAAACTCATTGTTTATTAACGTGTCAGATGAAACAATAGTGTATGGAACTCTGTAGTTTCATTCCTGAAAGGACAGCCAAGTAGAGGAAGGTCATGAAAGGCCTTGTCATTGTGAGCGTGTCGTACTGGTGACGTTCAGAGGGTCAGCATCAAACATAGTTTTGGTATACATAAAATTTTCTTGCATGAAATATGCAGGACCAGCTTCATTTTATTGTTATCCATGTCAGTCAAGGAAAAGCTCATTTTGGCCCTTGTTTTTTAAACTCATTTTGTATGGAACCACTGAATTTCATGTAGAGAATTTCAAGGCTGGGACCTGGAAGAAGCCCAGGTACTAAAGACAGAAAGTTAACAAATTGCTGAGATAACCTTAGAAGTAAAATATAAAATAGGATAAAAAAATGTGTTTGTGTAGCTGCAAGGACAAAAGCAATGATGATTAAATGGGGGCTATTAATGAAGTTGCTTTGCACAGGAATTCAAGGCTTATTGATGTTATAAGAACACGCAGTGTGTTTTACCTCTCCATTCGTCATCATTTTAATAAGAAACTACAGATGAGGTTGATTTGTATTCATTTTTTTCAGGGAAAGTCCAAAACAATACCCTGTTTTAATCCCAACTCTTTATTGCCAGGTAGGTGCCTTTGCTTACTTTTGTGTGGGTGGATGACTAGCTAATCGCAGAGGCTGAGACAATCTTGATCTAAAGCCAAGCCTAATTGCAAATCTGACTATGTGTCCCATAAGGTGGTAATGCATTTTACACCTAGTGGTGCTAAGAAGAATAGGGATGAAGTCCCTTTAGAATTTATGATCAATCCGCACCTTTGTCGTGCGAGTGGGATGTGATACTGGATAGTCCGTGCATTGCTGGCAATGCTGTGGCTACCTTTCTTGAGGATTTATCATCCCACCTAGAGAGGGAGCTGCATGTATTCCTTTCTCTACTTTGGCATAAAATAGGAAGTGTAAGGTTTCCCACTTGCCACGGTAGCTTTTTGGCAGCACCAAAAGACAATGCCATAATGCAGTGACAGTTGTGTAGCATACAAGGAGCAGTGACAATGTGAAGCAAATTCAAATTCACATAGCTAAAAGTTAAAGAGTAACAGTAGGAAACAACCACTTCCTCTACCTTGCCTTGAAAAAAAATGTGACTTTTTAAAAAATTGCATTTCTACAAGACAAATGTTTCTGCAAGGAATCCTTCAGATCTAAATTCTGTGTCATAGTGGCAAGATCTTTAATATTCCAAAGTAATCCAGGTCTACATTAAGCTGTATTAATTATATCAAAAGAGCATTGCTTAGGTTGCAAAGTCAAGGGCTCAGCAATTAGGAATTGCAGGAATTAAGGCTGCCTGTGCTGCTTCATGCATATGCATTATAAAACACCTTTTAATTACGTGACTATAAGTTATTTTTTACAGGACCCCTGCCTTACAGTTTCTGTTTGATGCTGATCAAGTCACATAAATCAAAATTTTCATAAGTCATCTCTAACTATGTGTTCCTCATTTTCTAGGTGCCCGACTTGAGATCATGGGGTCTGATTTGCAGAAGTGCTGAGTGCTTACACCTCCAACTGAAGTCAATGGGAGCAGTGCTCTGACTGCATTAAGTGCTATAGAAAGTTAACTACTCTGAGAAATCAGGTTCTAAGCATCTCATATTGAACACCTCGAATGAATAGATGCGTTTGACCTTAACTTCTCCGTGCCTCAGTTCCCCAGTTTTAAAGTATGGGGGTAATCTGTCTTTTCTCATCACACTGGGGTGCTGGAAGGATAAATTAATTCGTATTTGTGAAGCACTCAGACACTGAAGGAGTGAGTGCATTGGAAATATGAAAAATTAGAAAATGTGGTCCTTCTAACAAGCAGGATTTGAATAGCATAGGAAAAAGAAGACCAAGGACCACATATTGTACTGAGAAATCCAAATGTTATTAGATGCTTTTCAAATGAAAATCATCCATCTTTGCAAGTAAATGATGAAGCGTTCTCTAGAAAAGACATACGTGATCATGTAACGAGACGATGTCACAATGCATGCACAGGATGGGCTGAATTAATTCTTGCAGTTCTTAACTTTTGAGTGTTTGATAATGAACTTGCTTTCACTGGATTTGCTATGTAAGTCCCTAACTGAGAAAGAAAATTGCACCAACAAAACAAAATCCATTCACTGACCATCACAGGCTTCATTAGCAAGATTTAATTCTACTGATATTCCTCTGAGCTAGCTGTGATTAACCACTCTTTGTCTCCAGTTCCTCTCTAGGTTTGTTTCTTGTTCCTTCTTTTACAGTCAGGCAGTTTCCTCTCTGTACTTCTTAAGCTGTGTCAGGGATTCAGTTGTGAGTATGGCCCTCAGCAGCAAAGGAGAACCCTGTGTACGCTTACAAAGTGTGGTGTGACTGGAATCTTTGAGGAATTAAAACTAAAATAATTAAAATCAAATGAGTTGCGTGTAGGGTTAAAACTGTGCTTGGACAAACCATTGTACGTTTTCTTGACAGATAACTATTTATTCAAACAGCTATTTATAAACTTATTACAATAAGTTTATTCTTAAATAAACCTTGATTTTTTCCCCCGTGAAATTCCACTCACTCTTCCACAGCAAGGAGGCACCAGTGCATCTCGAAAAATAGATCACCTGAATTGCAAACTAAAAAGTTTGGCTTGAGCTGTTTTCACTGTTTTTTTCTAAAAAATGAAATAAATTTATCCTTGAGATATCCTAAATGGAGAAGTAAGTTAAAATTTGATCGCCACAGCCTCTCTGCCTTCAGAATGAGATGTCTCTTGTAGCTTTTGACCCTGACAGGAGGTCTTTCCCACCATATTTTTTATTTGCTGTGTTAGTTGAAGTTGTGCACATGTAAGTTTTCACATCTAGAAAGTGTCGTTTTCATCTTTAAAATACTCGTCTGCAGGGACTGGTTACTGACCACAAGCTCATGTACATTCACATGAGAAAGTAGTGGACAGCACTTAGCGGGTTATAAATTCACACCGTAGCTTACTGCGCGTACTAACTTCATCGTATGAGCAAGCCCGTGGCTATCACAAGCTGTCATAATCGAAAGACACAATAATCTTCCTTAATGCCATTAAAATTCCACATTTCTTTTAATTTCAGATCCTCTTCTGCGTGACTACTGGGTGTATGAGGGCTCTCTAACCATTCCACCCTGCAGTGAAGGTGTCACCTGGATATTATTTCGCTATCCTTTGACTGTGTCCCAAGTGCAGGTAACAGCTGTGCTTAAAGTGACCTTGGAATATGGTTATGAGCGAAAGGTTATAGCGTGCAAATCTATATATCAGGACATTATATCTGTTCTCCTTGAAGATCCCATTAGATCAGTACATGACTTTTCTAGTAAAGGTTAAGCCTTTTGAGTCACTGAAAGCAATGCAAAGGTCAGAGATGAAAAACCTTGTTATCATTTATCATCTTCATTTAAAATAATTCTTTATTTAAGTGAAAGGAAAAGAAAGGAGTCAATGGGCAAAAGAAATTCAATTCTTTGTAATTGTAAGCTTTCAAATATCACTGCTTTTTGATGTTAAAGGAACAAAAAAGCACAGGGAGACACTGTCCTGGAGAATGAAAAATGTTAACATAGTACAGGCTAGCTATATTGCATTGAACTATTTTTAACTTATCTTTCTCTTTTTTAATTCTGTTTTATAATAAATGTCAAATGGAAACTACCTGTTTAAATTTGATTTCACACGTATGTATTTTAAAGTGTTTATTTTTTTAATTATATCTGAGAGTCATGTGAACCTTTCTATAGAAAATATTTCAAATCCATCTACAAATAATCCCAGTAAAACCAATGAAAACTCTTGAATATTCTCCTACAGTCTGTGAATCCCACCTGGAGGAATGGGAGTTTGATTTAAGTGAAACTATCTAGAATCCCTGAAGCTGAATGTGTTAATTTTCATTGCCTGCTCTGAAGCAAGTGCAAACAGAAGGGAAAAAAATATGAAAGGTCATAAATTCAGATTTAAATTATTTCGGCTTTAATAATTTAAAATTTTGCTAGTAATCTCAGCACAATATTTTAAAAATTTTAACAATTTGAAATTGACAGTGTTTCTTTTCATATGAAAACTGAATTCTAGATCCAATTATAGGATAAAAGCAACAGCTCCCAGGAAGATTATTTATATTATAGCTGCAACTTAAATGCATCCCATCATGGATCTGGTATTTATTTGCTTATGAAAGGATAAGTCTTATGGCTGCTTACTACTGAATAAATGGAAACAGAATTCTTGTTGGCATTATGAGATTCAGAATAACTTTTAAAGACAGAGTGCAGTTTGTAACTTGGCAGCTAATTGTCCAGATGTGATATGGGTAAATAAGAGAACTTAATCAGAAGTATAAAGACCATAGCTTTACACTAAGACATTGTATCATATTTCTTCCTAGTTGCAGATTTTGTAGTCTCTATTCCCTTTTAATCCAGTAAACATGCAGAGAGCACAGTTCAAGCCATCTGTAAGTGGTGGGAGTTGGCGAGAGGGTGAATGAAAGAGGAATTAAGCAGAGAGATGCAACTTTAGTTAAAACTATTATGTACTCATTTACCACGAGAAAACAAGATGTTGTAACGTGGTGTGAAGCCAATAAGTCTCCAGAAGAGAATATTGTGCCTGTGGAGAAGAGTGTGATTCATAACCATGGCCTCCTTTTAGGTGAGGGGTAGCTGGTTTGCATTGCTGCATTACTTTAATTGGCATAAACTGAAGCCAACAAGAACATTGCAGTGATGAAGGGTGCACAAGTCATGGAGGGGCTTTTCCCTGCCACTGACACAGTATGCAGGTGAGACATGGCATTGGAGTAGAGTGAGAGGTTGAAGCAGACCTATGCCAATATGATCCACAATACTTTGTTGTAGATCAGCATCAATTAGATAAAAAATCCTCACTACTAGTTACGAATACAGGAGCATTAAAGTCAAGGTTGTGCAGAAAAAACTTACTAAGAACGTGAAGGACTTTTGCCAAGGTGGGATAAAAATTTTATTTGCATCAGATATCGCTTTCAGCTGTCAACTGAAAATAAATATGGGGACAAGTAAGTGAGAGATGGTGATTCTAGGATTCTGAAGTCAAAAAGGACTGAGAGTTCTCCAGGATGCTCAAAATAAGATTTTGAGGGTGCCAGAATATTTTGCTTTACCCTAGACATCTAAGATTTTAACTTGTAGTTAGTACATTTTGACTGCAATTAAGTATCTGGCCTCTTTCGTGCATGTGGACATGAATGCCTATGAGAGATTCCATTTAAGGAGAGATTAGGAATGCAAGGGCTTTTGTCTATGGAAAATAAGAGAATGTTGCGTAGTGTATACCATTCTGAATCATCCATGGAAGGCCGGTAAAGGCATTTAATTTTGTTAAGCCTGCTTGTAGTATTAAAGCATAGATTTCAGTGCAAATGCATTTCTAATGGATTTAAATACATTATTTTTACATTTGTCATTAACTTGTAGAACTTTCTTCTGTGGGATGCTGATGAACACAGCTTATGAATCTTCAAGTGATTTGTATAAATACTAGTAGCATCTGTGGGTACAGCCAATAAGAGACAAATGCAAGACTTTCTATTTTCATTTTTCAGGCCATAAACTAATCAACTTCTGAGTGTCAATAATAAGTAACAATAAAGAACGACACAGTCTGAAATGGAATAGGTTTTATTGCCTTCCTCTGATGAAGCTAATTAATATATTGGAGACAAGATACTCGTTCGCATTCCCATTTTCTGTAATTAACATAGCAATATTGATTAACTTAACAACTGTGAGTCATAAGGGGAAAAAATTAATAAAATTGCAATTCTAGTTCATGGTCACATCTATATATTTTCACATTTGCTTATTTTGAAACAAGGGAGAAGTAACTATTTTGGCATAGCATGATAGGCCAACCACTGTGAAGCAGAGAACCTTTTTCTGTTTCTCGTAAAGTTCAACTGATGAGTTGATTTGCTACTGATCTAAGTCAATGTTGAGTGAAAGGAGATTCATCTCCATATGCACCTCACTTCAGCAGCTGGGATCTGAGTGAGTTGGTTATATGAGTACCAAAAGAGCAAGCCAAAACTGGGGTGTCAGATGTGCTTTCCTGGAATCCAATGCTGTTTCCTCGCTGGAGGTCATTTTCTTTGACATGAGGCTTCACTTTCATCAGAGAGCTGTTTTTTTCACGCATCTTTCTGTGAGGTCTGGATAAAGTGTGCAGGTGACACTTCTCCCCTGGAAAATAAGGGCTTTGCAAATCTGGTTCTTGGAGTTTTATTACTGACCTTGGTGGAATGGAGCTTGTCAGGAAAGCTGCACCCTGCCATGCTCTTTTTGCATATGCCTGCTGTTAAAGGAGAGGCCGCTCAGGCTGCCTGAGCATTCACACACCATTCCAGGAGTCACGCACACACCACCTGAGACTTTAACTGCTGGGATTGGAGTCCCTTCGCAGCGGGCGACTCCAGTGCAACGGGTGCCCCGTTTGACACACGCACTCGCTCTCGGGCTCTTCCTCTTCCTTTGGGCTCAACCCGAGGTTTCCTGTAGCAGAGTCTTAAGACATCAAATTTAAAAAAAAAATATTCAGATGATACAGCTAGAAAAAAACCCAAACAGCTTGAGTTGGGTGCCTCCAGAGAAGGACTGCGGACAATGAAATCCCTGGACAATTATACACTTACAATCTGTGCACCCACTCCTCATGCACTCTTCACGTGCCTTTTTGGTCCAATGGCAATTTCTAGTCTTCTAGTCTTCTGACACCGTGCTGGGTCCTTTCTCTGTCTCCAGGCAGGCCGTTAACCGTTCTCACCTTGCTGAGTTACAGCCTCTGCTGACGGTTGCAGCCTCCTTATCTTCTGGTTTGTGCTTCTTGTGCACCTGCTTGCTGGCAGAGCATGGGAAACTGAAAAGTCCTAGACTTAGGATAAACACGACTTAGCAGCACCTAAAACATCATTGTCTTATCAACATTATTCTCATACCACAGCACTTTACCAGCTACTAGGAAAAAAATTAACTCTATCCCAGCTGAAAGCACGTCTCGGTGAAAGTTCACAGCTTGCAGCCTAAGGCTTCAGCAAGTCTTGCTACTAATGCTAAACAATGGATTCCGTTTGAGCTAGAAAATGACTACAACAACACTCCCCTCCTTTTGTGGTTTTTATCATCCTCACTTGCTTTAATGTTGTAGTATACAGCCCAGAAAGAGCTGTGTTGACTGCTTTTGTGAGACACCTCACCCATGCACATACACCGCTGAAATGCAAAGGGACAAAATAGAAAACTCCCTCCTATTAGGCCAGTAAAGAGCAGGAAATAAGTGAAAAAGACTTGCTCGTGCTTCTCTCCACTATATTTTTTTTAAATTGGACAGTTGTGAATAATGTGCTTTGTGGTTCACTGAAGCCCAGAACAAGTACATTGTCTAAGCCACTCAGAGTAGGGATTTTAAACAATGATGCAGCAAGGACCTGTCATTCTGCTGTGCTCATTGTCAGAGTTAACTGGTTTTGTATTGAATGGTGAGGTCTCTAGTCCTTTTGTCTACCTCATTCAAAATCAAGACCTCCTAAAGGACAGAAATAGTAACTAGCATATGGAGCTGGAGTGGCAGTTGTGCAAAATTTATGTAGTCTGTGAAATAAAGCACTCTGAGAGGTTCATGGTATTCTGTTCACTGGGAAGCAGGTCTGTGTTCTTAGAAGGTGTCATGGAGGCATGTGAAATTTTCAAGCAGAAGAATAATGCTTCTATTCCTCGTATAGGATAAATGTTTGTAGAGGAACAATGCAAATTCTTTGTTTTGTGTGTTCTGTTCTTCATCAAATATTTAAGTGAAACAGAAAAATCAGTGTTCAGGATCTGAAGAGGGAAGTGGTAAAAACATTCTTGCAAAATTCTACAAAATATAAACTAAATGCTTTTACTCAGTAGAAATGTGACTGTTAATATTGTGGACTTATCCCTTCACTGGTTAGAATTTGATCTTGAATTTCAATGTGAACAGGCCTAGGTCATGCTTAGTGTCTTCTGGGCATGAGAAGAACTTTTATAAATGGCTGTTCCTGTTGAAAGTGTGTGAGTATCCAAGGGTGCTTAGCCGTGTGCCTCTTAAATACCTATTTCCTCAGCAATTCTACAGGGTTTACTTCACAGCATTGACTTGTGTGTGGTTGGGAGGAGATAGTAAGTGGTTCCATATAAGATGAAGGATGAGTGGGACACACATATCGCCTTATCACATGGAAATTTAATGGGAAAAGTAGTGTCAGTACAGTCAGTGTCCTTTTCTGACAGAACCACTTCTCAAGAGTGAGGCAGACCACCACGTGTATAGGGAGTCCCGGTCATGGGGGTCTGAACCGTGATATGAAGGACTAAACAAAGAGGCTGATGATCTCAGAAGCAATTCTCAGAGTAGGGTTGCAATTCTTGACTTCCCTGAAGACTAAAGAGCAGGCACGGGAATCAGGTCAATCCTACTTTCCTGACTGAAGAAACTGGAAGCTGCTTTGTGAGGAGTACCTCTGGGAAAAGGATTTCACTGTGGGGATTGAGGCAGAGCATTTATAGTATAGCAGGAGACAGCTCAAAAATGCCAGCTTTGCAGAGTCTGGTTTTCCCTCTCCTTCATCGGTGTGTGTATGTGTGTTTGAAGTCTCTCATTCTCAAAAGATCAAACAAAAGCCACGTTCCTGTAAAATGCTCCTTCCTAAACTACAATTATTTCAGACTTTCCAGAGTTGATTCAGATGCTGAAATAGGGTACCTTTACAAAACCCATTCAGCGATTTACCAGTGCTTGACTCCTGAAGACTTTTTCAGCTCCAAGTCTGAGTGGGTTTGTTTTCAGTTGGTTTTAAATAAACGTTAAAAAAAAAATCTTCCAAAATAGAGATCTACCTCTAAAAGCACCTTCAAGGAGCTTTACAGTTTGTTCTGCTTTTCATCTTTTGAGTCTAAGCTGCTGCTTTATATCTCAGCTGCAGGAAGCTGAGTGTTGATTTCTAAGCACATTGGTTTTTGAGGAAAATACAGCAGAGCATAGCTAGCCTCGAAGTCAAGTAAATAAGTCTGTATCAATTCTGCTCTAGAGGGGAAAACAACAATGAAGGCAGTTGTCTTCCAGGTTGAAGTAAGAAAGTATCCTCTGCAGGCAATATAAGAATAAAAATGCCATTACCGGCTGTTTAGTACCTCATTTATTTTAATTCTGCAATCCTACTTCGATTCTCCCTGTAATCCTTCATAGGGTGTTTTTCATGGAGAAATTAACTCACTGTAATTTCTTCGATGATAAAATGATTAAATACTTCAGGCTCCATTTTGCTTTTTGTGTAGCTTCAGTTTCAAGTTACAGCTGAGCTGATAATGAGGCATCACAGGGTCAATACAAGTACAAAGGCTCAGACTGGGGGAGTCGGCCTTCAAGTAGGTTTGCTGTATCCAGCTAAGATAGCTTGTCAATATGCCAAAGCAAAAACAAACACGATTTTTTTAGGAGCAGTGACTACTTATTTAAAATACCAGAGTCTTAAAAACAGCACTGTTGAACAATAAGGTCTAATGTTGCTGAGGTATGCCTTGATTTTCTTAGTTTTTTATCACACAGAGCTTGATGCTGAAACCAGG